AGAGATAATCCCAGGATTGTGATAAAGAGAAAGAAGCGATGGGAAAGAAGGAGATTGTTTGGCTGCATTTGTTATTATAGATAGAAAGAAAAACAGAGAACATGTGATAGCGGGAAATGTTGGCGAACAATAACTGTGAATGACATTCGAACGATATAAAATTAAATTTAACACTGACGAATGAATTAAGTAAACATATTTGATTATAGCAGATAATTCGATGAAAACAAGGTAACATAATATGCTTCATACGCAAATGATTGCCAGTTCAGATATAAGAAACTTTTACCATTATTTTATAATAATTTTCTTACATTTTCTAGTGACTATTTACTTAAATATATCATGCGAATTATTTCCATGCTGTTAAATTTTAATAAAATTTGATTCAGTTCAAATAGTTAACTGCTTCTAATTTTCGGATATTTCAACTTCTCAATGCATTTATTTTTTGATGCAATTTGTACATTTTGATAATATATTATATACAGGAAAACATCGGAAATTTTCCATGCTCTATTTGCTCAATCTAAGTATAACTGCAGAGAATTTAAATTTGAAGACGAACAATTTCCATTTCCAATTTAAATGAAAGCAAGTGAAGTTGTATCTTCACTAATTAACTACAGTTCTACTATTTTGCATTGTAATGCATATTGGATGTTTAAGGAAATAATACTTCTTCTTACAAAAACTCCCTATTATTTAAGTAGCATGAAATGAAAAAAAAAAACAAGTAAGTAAAGTTAAATTAAATACGTAGAAAAAAACATCAAAAACTTTGTTTAAATGAGAAAATTTTTGTTTTTATGTAAGAATTTAATTATAAAAACAGCTTGTTTCAGCGATATAAATATACATAAATATTTTCATTAGTCTTAAATTTCAAACTATACTTCACATGCTGTAATGTATATTATAATTTAAATGAAAATATATTAAGATTTAAAGGTGAATGAATTGTTGACACATCTCAACAGCGATACAGCATTCACATTTTTTTGGAGCAAATAATATGGTGATAATATTTATCACGAAATATTCATAAATTATATAAAAAATGCAGGATTTTCAAAAGAAAAAAAAAAATTGAATTCATTGTATCTAAATCTTTACGTCTTTTAGATTTATGTTCTCGATAACTTGCAATTAAGCTTGCTTTGAGTGCAGTTTTATTCATCGCTTTACATCTCTCATAATATTTTTCCTTCGCTAATTGTTACAATGCTATTTTGCATGGTAGTGCACATTGGATATCTAACAGGATAATTCTAACAAAAATTTCTTATTATTTAAGTAAAATAGAACAAAAAAAAAGCAAATGAAAAAATTTCTGGTTCTTTTTTTTTTTTGAAATCTGTAAGAATAAAACAAAATACAAAAAATTCAGCTCAAAGAAAGAAACTTATGCTTGCGTGTAAAAATTCTTAACATCTATTCGTGTTATATTAAAAAAAAAAAAATGTTATAAAAAAGTTTGCATGCAAATAATTAAAATTTTTTGCTTACTTCCTCCAACACATATTTCATGCATTTATCGTATCATTTTAACTCTTTTCTTACACTGTTTCTTACACTCTCCATTTCTCTTATTTTTCCTGCTTTGTACGACAGAAATAAAAGCTGATTTTATTGCTTTCCTCTCTTGCCTTCTTTCATGTACTCTTCCACAAAATCAACCCAAATGATGGAAATATACTGGGTAAAAAACGATAAGCATATTTATTGCTTATCATATATTGTGATATTGGGATATCACGAAATTAGAATACAATGATGATTTATCCACATATCCTTCTCCTACACCGCCACTTGATCCTTCAATTGATCATCATTGCATTGCACATATTCCCATACTATCTCGGTTAATTGCTAACATTAATAATTTGCAGATACATAGCGTACAATATATCTGTCATACATACACTTCCAACTCTGTCCTTCATTTCAGTAGCTTTTTTTTGATATCATTAAATTTCATATGAAATTTTATTCGCTTCAGTCACTTTTGTATTGAAGCATACGAAGCATTTCTTCAGTGAGTTAAATTATTTGATACAATTATGTATTCATCTCTTATCTGAAGTTCATTATTTGTTCCAACAAAATTGCTACATGAAATATTTTTTTTTTTTATTTTCACGCTTGAAACATTGCATTACAGCGATACAACACTATTATTAATTGTCAAAGACTTTGTATCGATTGTGAAAGATGATAGGAGGAAAGGATCATCCGAATAAAATCGGAAAGCTTTCAACAATTATTCATATCGCAACCTCTAACAGTATACGTGTATTGCAAATAAAAATCTAAAAATATGTAACTGTCATGGAGTTCAGCTAAAAGTTCAACGAAACATAACTTGCACTAAATTTTTTGCTATCACAATCAAGTTTCTTCATCATCATACATTTTCATGATTTACCGCAAGCCAGTAATAGTATCGCTTTATAAAAGTGAAGGGAATATATACAATGTAATCTGCAAGAATGCCTTCTCGTAAATTTTGAAAGTAAAAAATTACTGTCTCGCTTAAAAAAGTATTTAATTACAGTAGCTATGATGACAAAAGATACAATTGGAAATAATTAAATTTAAAGTAATGGATTACTTATCGTTATTTACATACAAAGGTTAGATGTTCGCCGAATTGGACTCAATTAAACTTACAACAGCGATAGAAATTATCACAATAATAGTAATTCCATATTGTGCGGCTATTAATAAACAGCTTATTTGTGTTTTGTAAATATAATAATATATTGGAAATACTGCAACAGAAATTTTTTTTTTTTTTCGCTTTAACCTTCTGTGTTGTTCATCAGCAAAATGAATCCATTCAGACAAAGACGCTATTACTAATGGTATCTGAAATTCTTTACGATCCTCTTTTTTACATAGTAATGATTAACTGAAAAGCAAGAGATTATTTATAAAACTTATTATGATATGTAAAAAATCCACTAAATTATCTCGCAATGTATGAGTTTTTGCACTTCTTTAACATTCACTTTACCAAACAACGATGAAAAAAATTATGCTTCAATGGATGGAAGCGCATCGTTACTAAAGAACTTCATAAGAACCGTTCATAGACTGCTAATTCAGATACTCATATGGAACTTTAATGAATGTCTTGTAATAAATCTTCTATATGTTCTAATGAACATTTATTTACTTAAATATGCTATGAAAATTATTTCAGATGTTGTTAAATTTCAAACAAAATCGTACACATCGAATTGTTATCTCTAATTTTAGAATATTTCAGCTTCTCAATCTAATTTTTAAAATAATTTGAAATACATTATATACCAGAAAAATATTAGATATTTTGAATTCTTAATTTTACCAATCTAAGTATAGCTATAGGTATTTTAAATTTGAAGCTAAATGATCTCCACTTCTAATTTAAATGAAAGCAAGTAACTTTCAATCACGCTTATCATCTATCAAATAATTCAGTTTTTTCTTACATTTTCCATTCTTTTTTTCTTGCTTAGTATGACATTTCACTTTAAAATTAAAGTTGATTTTGTTTCTTTCTCGTCTTCTTTCATTTACTCTCCTTCGCGTAAATCTCATATCGAAGTCAACCCAAATGATAGAAATATATTGCTAGAAAGAGATAAGCATATTGCTTATTACACTGTGACGCCGGGATATATCGGGATTAAAAAAGAAATATGATTTATCGAGATCTCCTTCTCCTAAAATGCTACTCTGTCTTTCAACTTATCATCAGTACCATATAAGTGACTATTGCTCATATTCTCGGACTATCTTGATTAATTGTTAACAGCAATAATTTTGCAGATACATGGTGTACAATATATCTGTCAAACGCA